GGAGAGATTTAGGAGTGTGCTGGAAGGAATTTAAGAATAACGGACTATTGGATACGGGTTTTGACTAAGATTACGGATTACGGCTTGGATATGGCGCAGAGTAGTGTGGACATACAGATTTGGGTAAACTACTGGGAATACACCAGATCCGAACCTCGGTCTATCACCCTCAAACCGATGGTCTAGCAGAAAGTTTTAATAAGACCCTGAAAAGCATGCTGAGGAAGGCTATGCAAAAGGATGGGAAAAATTGGGATCAGCTGCTCCCGTATCTCATGTTCGCGGTACAAGAAGTGCCACAGGCCTTGACCGGGTTTTCTCCATTTGAATTGCTACAGTATACTCTCAAAACCCCCGGGGCCTATTAGACGTGGTCAAGGAATCTTGGGAACACCAACCCTCACCTTTACAGACCATCATGGAACATGTGGAACAAATGAGAGAAAGAATAAACGTTATTGTTCCCATTGTGAAAGAAAACCTGGAAAAAGCACAGGCTCAACAAGAACAAGTTTATAATAGGGGAGCTATTGCGAGAGAATTTCAACCGGGTGATAAAGTACTGGTATTGGTTCTGACCCCCGAATGTAAATTCTTGGCCTCCTGGCAAGGTCCTTATGAGGTGGTGGAAAAGATGGGACCGGTCAACTATAAGGTCAAGCCGCATGACCGAAGACGGCAGCATCAAATCTACCACATCAATTTATTGAAGAAATGGCATGGGACCGAAGTTCTGCTCACCCACTTCTCCCCTGACCCGTTGGAAGAAGAAACGGGAGCTGTAGCCATGGGAGACCTGGCTCCGGCTCAGAAACTGGAACTACAAGAATTCCTGTCCCAAAACAAAGATGATTTTTCCCGGACACCTGGTCGAACCCATCTTATAAGACATAAGATTACCACGGAACCAGGGAAGAAGGTAAGACTACCCCCATATTGAGTACCTGAAGCTAAAAGGAAATTGATTAAAGAAGAGGTGGAAAAGATGCTAGAGATGGGAATAATAGAAGAATCCCATAGCGAGTGGGCGAGCCCGATAGTTCTGATCCCCAAGCCGGATGGAACTGTTCGATTTTGTAACAATTTCAAACGGTTAAATGAGATCTTGCTGTTCGATGCATACCCCATGCCCCGTATTGATGAACTAATTGAGCGATTAGGCAACGCCCGATACATCAGTACCCTTGATCTTACGAAGGGATATTGGCAAGTGCCGCTGGCCGAGGAAGACAAAGCGAAGACTGCTTTTGCCACCCCTGAGGGGCTATATCAGTAGAGGGTCCTTCCCTTCCATTTGCATGGCGCTCCTGCAACATTCCAAAGACTAATGGACCGAATACTGAGGCCATATCGCGATTTTGCAGCTACCTACTTGGATGACGTTGTGATCCATAGCACGACATGGGAACAACATCTACAACACCTGGAATCAGTGACTGGAGCTTTGCGAGCAGCAGGATTAACAGCCAACCCAAATAAATGTTGTCTGGGGGCTCGGGAAGCCAATTATCTTGGTTATACGATCGGGAGAGGATTGGTCATGCCCCAAGAGAAGAAGGTGCAATTAAAAACTGGTCCAAACCTGCTACAAAGAAGCAAATCCGAACATTTTTGGGACTTGTGAGTTAATATCGACGTTTCATTCCAGGGAGCACTGGAATGTTCTGACACTGGAATTGGAGCCATACTCTCGCAAGAAATTGATGGACTGGAGCATCCTATTCTATATATTAGTCGCAAGTTAAATCCTGCTGAAAAACACTATTCTACCATAGAGAAAGAATGTCTAGCCATAAAATGGGCCCTGGACTGAGGTATTATTTATTAGGAAGACGGTTTATATTGTACACAGATCATGTGCCATTAACCTGGATGTTACAAAATATGGATAAAAATGATCGAATCACACGATGGGGACTTAGTCTTCAAAGGTTTCAATTCCAAACAGTATATAGACCCGGAAGGAAACAAGGGAATGTAGATGCTCTCTCCCGAATGCACTGTGTATTTTTTTCTAGATTGCCCGAGGACGGGGCTGATCTCAGCGGGAGGGAATGTAAGAGGACCAGGGGAAGGGTCATTTATAATCGGTACAGTATTTCCATAACGAAACGCTGGATATACTAGATATAGACCTAGGCAAGATGGCCGCCAAGGATAACCAGCTGACCCGCTGTTGGAAAAGATCTATGCGGCGAAACAATGAGACACAGGTGAGCTGCGTCAGGAAACGGAATATAAATGCCCCAGAAGCAGTGAGCCGGTTCAGAAGCAGATAAGGTGAAGGAGAGATTTAGGAGTGTGCTGGAAGGAATTTAAGAATAACGGACTATTGGATACGGGTTTTGACTAAGATTACGGATTACGGCTTGGATATGGCACCGAATAGTGTGGACATATGGATTTCGGAACTTGGATCGTTTAAGGATACTGCTAATGGATTGCGGAACGGATTTGGGGAGACATACGGACGAAGAACACAGAAGATCAGTGTGGTGTGAGTTAGATCTCTTTTACACCTATTTTCCCCCGGCGACACTACAATGTAATCAATAAATATAATCCTGTATTATAATAGGTTATCTTACAAATAACAAACAAATCACATAAAATAAAAATATTAAACAAAGTTTCATATTGCCATCACAGTAGAAGCAAAGCTAATTTATTCAAAAACAAGAATGGATAAAGACGGCACTACACATTAAATGGATGAGAAGCAAAATATGGCATAAACTAACCATCCCTCTGGTTCAAAACCCAATTAGGTCATATCGCACAGAAGTCAAAGTCAAATCTAACTTGCTGCAGTGCCTACCGATTGGCCTACATTCTAGCTTCCACTAAATTTACCATGCATTAAATAATAGCTTTGCAACATGAAAAAAAATACAAAAGTTCATGTACTTGTCAGACAGGAGAGAGAATGTGTCATGGTCAGGGAATGTTTTATTCAGAAGATAATACCACTTTAGAGATGGTCTTTCGTACCACTTTGGCTGCGTCAATAGTGTTTACAGTCTACCAAATACACACATTCATAATAAGATAGACAGACAGACTGCAGACACACAGAAAGGCACTAAAAATATGTTCTATACTCCTTTCCTTTATATCCAACATAACACACTATCTGGGTCTAAATTCAGCCTAAGGCTGTTTTTAATGGATTTGCTCAGTATGACAAATATGTAATTGTATGTCCATAGATCTAAGTGACAAACACAAAGAGACACAATCTCTTGCAGCTAGTGTAAATCTAGTAATAGGGATAAGGAAAAGCACCCATCAAAGTCAATTCTTAGTCAAAGCTGAAGAATATTCTTTAAATGAAACTTAGATGTTGAGATTATGGCACACTGAATTTCTATCTTTATCAGTGATAAATATTCAATCAATGTACTGTTGGGAAGAAAATGACTGGATAGTCTGTCACAATAATGAATGTGTATTGGCAGATTGCTGCAAAGTAGCTTTTCAATTTAAATAAAAGTAATACTTTTATGTATGGAATGTATACTTTGTTACAGAAAAAGTGTATTAATATATTGAAACATTATGCAAATGAATCCACACCAGACATATTTATTGTACAGCACACTCTAAAGTACTGAGATACACTGTCAAAAATATAAAACAGATGTATTTATATATTTGTGTTACATAAATATAGCAAAACATATTATATATAAGACACAAATGATTCTGAGCTGCAAGAAGACACATACAAAAGACCTACAGTATGTCATGTCTGCAGAATTTTGTACTGTATG